GGGGGGGGGGGTCTCGCCTTCATCTTAGCAAAACACAGGCAGGTCCAGTCTCCCCTTAACTGGAGAAACTTACTGGGGACTTAGAGCTGGGTCCTTCAGCTTGGCCCATCCTACCTTGAAGGGTTGTTGTGACATTAAGACTAGGGAAATCCAGGTTCCAATCTCCTATCAGTCAAGGAAGCCTCTTGGGGGATTTGGAGCAAGTCCCTCCCCCTTGGCCCAGCCTACCTCGCAGGGTTGATGTTTGGGGAACAAAAGCAGATCTCTTGTGAGTCCCCTTGACTCTGTGTAGAAAGGGGGGTGTAATGAATGACCTTGGAAGACAGGAGGCAGAGCCACAGACTAGGCAATGGCCAGATAAGGGGCAGCTGAGCCCGCAGAAGGAAAAGGGGACCCTCCCCAGTTGTAAAGGCGAAGGGGAGAATTTCAGACTTGCAAGATTCTGATAACGTAACCTTGCAATAGAGCTGGTACTTCTGGGCGTGCTTCTGCTCCGGACTACCTCGCAAGGCCGACAGCGGGATGTAAGTCTAACAAATCAAAGCAGAGCTGGGCTTGAAATTCCAGCCTTCAGATGGGGCTTGTATTGTCCATGCGCTGGATGGGACTGGATCGAGGGCAGGGGGGGGCACTTTTGATGTTGATCTTTCCTTTTCATCCCCCCCCAGGCTTCCCTTCTGTCCAGCGAGAAAGTGCAGAACGGAACCGCGGCCGAGAAGACGCCAACCGGAGAGGCGCCTCCCCCGGCCCTCCCCCCCCCCCCCCCGCGGCGGGGCGTCTCCCCCCCCCCCCCCCCCTCCCCTGCCTGCCGAGAACCCCCCGTCCTCATCTAGCCAGCACAGATCATCGTCTTCTTCCACCGGAAGTAAGTCAGTTTCAAAGGGAGATTTCCCTTCGGCACCGAAATTGGACAAAGTCGAATTCTGGAAGCCGATCTTGGCATTGGCGTCAATGCAAGGAGGGGGGAGGGATGTGGTCCCCCGGTGGAAAGATTTCCCTGGCATGGGTGTGTTGGCATCTGTGGGGCACAAAAGGATCTCAATCCGGGGACCGGCAAAAAACACACCCTTGAGTTGTGTTGGCCGAACCCACGCAACTAGGTAAAAAGGACATCTGGCAGTTTCGTTTTAGGAAGTGAAGGGCAGGATAAAGCCTGCCCAGTCCAGGAGAAATAAGGGTGTGATGGAAGGATATGCCCTGGGGGCATTGATGGATTTCTATTCATAGCCTGTGCCATCCTGAAGACTCAAGGGAAGTGATCGGAGCAGCTCTACAGAAGACATTATGTTAAAAAAAACTCACACACACACATTGTCTTTGTGGGTCGATGGGGGAGGTCCTCTGGCATTTTCCCAAAAGTGTTCACCCTCGGATTTGGGCTGGCTCAAAGGGGTGGCAATCCTGTCATTTCGCGAGGGCCATTGGGCAACGTGTGCCACTCTCATTTTTTTTTTTTAGATTTTTTATCCGCCTTGATTATTAAATAAGGCAGTGAACGTACGCCTTCCTCCTCCTATTTTCCCCACAACAACAACCCTGGGAGGTGGGTTGGGCTGAGCGAGAGTGACTGGCTCAGTCACCCAGCTGGCTTTCACAACTAAGGCAGGACTAGAACTCACAGTCTCCTGGTTCCAGCCTAGTGCCGCGACACCATCATGGGGATCATCCTGCAATGCCAAAACCAGCTAGTCTTGAAACAATCCTGAGACCCATTTGAACAGCCTGATTTTTCCCAGGAAAAGGCCAGGGAAAATCTGGGAACTGCAGTTCCAGAGGAGAAGGTCAATGGGCTTTGGGCAGGTTTAGCCAGATCCTCGAATAAGGGAGAAAAGTGCCTTTGTGGAAACTGCCAAAGGGAAAACTCACTGAGCAAACGATGGGACAAACCACTCTAAAAGAAGATCCAGTTGTCTGGGCAGGACTGAGATCCGACTGAACAGGGGATTAATCTGGAAAACCGCTCCTGCAGGCCAAATGTCTGCTTGCTCTTTTAAAAATCTTCCTTTCCACGGAGCCAAACAGGTCTGGAAATGCCCAGACGGTTGAAATTGCGTCCACGTTCAGCTTTGCTTCGCAGCGACCGGTGCCAGACGCGGTTGGATAATGTTGCTTTTCTGCCCTCCTCCGGGGATTTCAGAGCCCAGTCGATCCAGCCCTAAATCCAGCAACGAGGGCTTGGAAGAAGCCTGATGAAATATTTCAAATATTTCACATTTGAGTCTAAATCGGCCTGGATGGACGACAAATGGCAGGGCTCCTTTGGCGCACGAAGAGTTTCCCGGATTGATTTCCACAAAAATTCCTTCCTGCTTTTTCTGCATCCGATTTTTGCTCCAGGGTGGCCAAAGTGGAGAGCGTGGATTTGCTATCTTGCCAAACTTTATTGGAAGAATACATTCCAGCCAACTGGAATATTTCACCTGTAGAATTATAGGTCGGTCTGGGCGAGCTTCTCTGCCCCTTGGCTGGCTGCTGAATTTTCAGATGGGCACAGATCTGAGCTGGCTCTTCTGAACCACCCGTTCTGCATCCAGACGTTGCAAGAAGAGAGCGGAAAAACACCTTTTCCGACGAACAAATTTGATTCAAAGGCATCAGTTTTCAGGAGCTACAGAGAGGGGGTCATAATTCCTAGGGGAGCTAAGAGAGACACGGCCTTCTGGGGTCTGCGGAAATCTTTCGGAGGGGTACAGATGCTGGCTTGGCATCTGCAGGGAGCCCGTTGCCAATCTCTGTTCTAAGAGTAGCCAAAAATCCTCCTTGGATTTCTTCAGCACGATTCTGAAGAAGCTTGGAAAGGGGCCCTTTGAAGAACAAATCCAAAACTTTGGAGGCATTTCCAAGGAAGAAGCTTTGGTTAGAAAAGCTTAAAACAAAACGGGTCTTCTAAGTGGCATGTTCTCAGGGAGCTGAAGCCCCTCCCCTCTTCTGTAGCTTGGGTTTGTTGGAAATTTTGCATCCCGGCGTAGCTTCCCACCTTCCACGTCCCACTTTTCAATCTATCAGCGGCCGCCTCCTGGCTCGGCAAAGGTCCTGAAATATTGATCTATTTCAATATTGATGAAATATTGATGGGGCTTAATCTGCACCCTTTGGAGTTGGTGATTCCTTGTCACCCCCCCCCACTAAGTATGCATTATTTAGCGGGGGTTGAGGGATTGTACTCCTGCAGATGGTTTTTTCAAGAAGGGGAACAGCGTGGTATCAATTGCCTCCGTTTTTCCGTGCAAATGCAGTTTCGACATTGGTCTTTTCTGTCGGGGGGTGCTTTTTAAAACCAACCCAAGGGTGTGTTGCAGGATCAGATCAAATTCTTCCCAGCCCAGCATCTCCTGATGTGTAAGGTAGACTGCCTCTAAGAAGGAGGCTCGATTTTGTGTTCTGGAGGTATGCTCTTCCAGGAGTGATCCTGGCAGCAGGATCCTGGGCAATTTAATTCTGTTTCATCTCAATGTTCGGGTTTTCCAGATTGTCAGCTGCAAAAATATCAGTCTTCCAGCAAGTGGCTGCGTGGTACGAACGGTGTCCTGACTGCTTAATATCTGGTTGGCTGTAGGTTTGCTTTTTAATCATTTATTTTTTTTTGGAGGTGGCTTCCAGTTAGAGCAAGAAGGAGAGACGATACAGGTGTCTGTGGTTGTTTTCATACCAACTTAGTCATCTTTTTTTCTTTTCCAAGCGGTCTTGCTATGCAAACATCAGAGAGAATGAGCATTTCCTAGCATGTTGATGAAGGAAGTCACATGTTGCATTTTCTAAAAAACAGCCTATTGGCCAAACCAGCAAAATTACTCAGTATATCTGAGCTCCCTGGCCAAAACCTCACTGTGTTTCTGCATTGCAAAAATGCCAAATGGAATTTTAACTGCATTACCTTTTTCTTTTCAGAGGTAATGGAAGGATGGAAGGCAGGAATACTGGCCAGATATCTTCCTTCCTCCCTCCCTCCCTCCCTCTTCTTTCCCTTCCTTCCTTCCTTCCTTCCTTC